ACCTTGTCTCCCTAAGCCAAAAAATCTAACTGTATAAAACTGTGTGCTGGCACTAGTTTTAGAATTTGCATTGTTTTACCCTCCTGTAATTTCATCTGTGATTGGATGTTCTGTGATGAGGCTGCTGGGGAATAGACAAGAGTATCAGATATTAAAGTCCAAGAGTCTGCCATCAAAAATAAGAACCAAACAAAAAAAAGCAAAAAAACCCTAAAACGGTATGGACCTCCTAGAGGTTTCAGGGAGGTTATGGGACAGGAGGTAACTCTAGGACCTCACTGAAAACACTAGCTAAGGGAGAGCCCATGTTAGGAGCTGATGTTCCACATATTTGTCTTGAATTAGCTGCCTAGAATTTAGAGTGTCTTTTCTTAAAGAAACATTAAAAATGATAATTAGGTTTCCAGGCTAGGCTAAACAAACAAAACATATTTTAGACAATAACAAAGATTAAAGACTATACATTGACTATGACAAATAATAATACTAATGTAAATATACTCTAAGACACACGCTCCTCTGGGACCTAGAACTCCCTGGGACAGACCTTTTACCCCAGATTATTTGAGCTGAGTTAAATGTCCTTTCCCACAAGCCCCCAGTTTCAGAAAGCCAGGATGACTCACGGACTTATCTTAAAAACACTCCCAGTTTCCATGAATTTTTAGTCTTTGATGCCCTTTTTAGTCTACCTATTCAAATACTCTCTGAAAATATACACATCAACTCCACATGGTGATAGCCAAAATATTCTAAAAATAGAATCTTACAACTCAAGATTGTGATGCAGGTAAAAAGTGAAGATAAGAATAGTGAAGAAGGACTTTTCTGACTTCCCTATGTGCCAGCTAGGCCTGATTCTGACAGATCACAGATCATGCCTTCAGACCATGATACCAAGCAAGGTGGCAGTGACCAAGTGCACTCATTCTCTCCCCAGAGCCCAGAACTATTCCTACACATAGTAAGTGATGAGGAAAGAATAAATGATTATATAAGCCTTGCCTCCAAATTTCATCATCATCCTACAGCGTCCTCCTTCTTCGTATACTACTCATCCCCTTTTCCCTTCTGCCCCTCCAAAGTGAATTTAAGGCTAGCTAAGCTGACCTTCTATGCTCTAAGTTCAAATCCCAAGTAGACACAAATTTTGCATCAAAATATGAGCTACTATATCTGTAAACAGAGAGCAATGCCAACCACCACCCCATACACACACACACACACACGCACGCACGTGTGTGTACATACTTCATGAACAATGGCTGTTTAAAAACATGTGGTCAAAAAGAAATATGGTGGCTCAGGCAATATCTGGCCTTATTGTAGGCATGCTGGCTATTAACTTTGTAGGATGCTTCTATACTAATTTGTTAACACAAAAGGCTACTAATAAGCATTTATTAAAATAAATACAACAGATAATGTAGATAATTTGGGTATTTATAAGTTGGAGAATATTAAGATTCGCCAGTTTTAAAAATTTGCATACAACTTTGATTATATATATAATTTGAGCCTAGGATCCCAGTCCTAATAATTTTAATGTACTCATAAAGAATAGAAGAATAAAATACAATGACATCAGAGTTCCTACTCCCATGCCACCAACTAGTATAAAGTTCTACATCAGTCTATACTTTCCTATTAATATAAACCGAGATTAACTTACTTGTTCAAAATATCTAAAAATATAATATAGGGAAGTAGAAAAATTATTTTTGTTCTTTTTCTAAAAGTACAGCTTTTTCAGTTTTAGTACCAATATATAAAGTATTAACAATTACAGTAAAAGTAACATTTTCTGTGTTAATACTCTATGGGTCATATTCTGTATTTGCTAGATATGTGCCTTTGAAAAGCCCAGTTTTTATACATTGTCTTGAACATTGTTTTATGTTTTATTAAATTGCACCATTTGATATGATAGCACAAAATGGTATTTTCCTAGAAACTGTTTGCCCTGGGGCAGAAATCTCTTGAATCACGAAATATACTCTACAAATCTGTAACTATTCTTTTTTTTTTTTTTAAAGATTTTTATTTATTTATTTGAGAGAGAGAGAATGAGAAAGAGAGAGAGAGCATGAGAGGGGGGAGGGTCAGAGGGAGAAGCAGACTCCCTGCTCAGCAGGGAGCCCGATGCGGGACTCGATCCCGGGACTCCAGGATCATGACCTGAGCCGAAGGCAGTCGCTTAACCAACTGAACCACCCAGGTGCCCCTGTAACTATTCTTATTATGACAGTCCAAAGTAGATATACTCATTTATACTTAGGTAGAAATTTCAGTGGAGAGAAACAGTTAATGAACTAATAAAACAAAGGCGGAAGCACAGAACTACAGTCTGGGGATGAAAGCACTCAAGGGCACAGAGACTAGTTCACATCTTGCTCTCTGTGAATAACCTGTATCCTTTTGCCACACTCACTAAGATTTCTCAAGACCATCTTTCTCTCCACCCACTTTTATTTCCCCCTCTTTCCAAACATCTGACTCATCAACTTTTTATTCAACCTCATGTAATGAGCTACTCTTCTATTTCAAAACTCATTCACTCAGATTTTTGTGAAATTATAGCAAGAGGAGATCCTTGTGGAATCAGAGCAATGTGAATGAGTCAAAGAAAGGGAACATGGAGAGCATGGGCTAAGGATGAAAGGAAATGGGAAACCATAGGGTTCAGGTCTATTCTGCCTGAATCTAAAAAATATTCCTCCTCACAGCAGCAAGGCAGAACGAAGTATATCCCACTAAACCTCTAAGTTGGTTTAAGAAATACCATCTACCGGGGCGCCTGGGTGGCTCAGTTGTTAGGCGTCTGCCTTCAGCTCAGGTCGTGATCTCAGGGTCCTGGGATTGAGCCCCGCATGGAGCCCCGCATCGGGCTCCTGGTCAGCAGGAAGCCTGCTTCTCCCCCTCCCACTCCCCCTGCTTGTGTTTCCTCTCTCGCTCTCTCTCTGTCAAATAAATAAAATAAAATCTTAAAAAAATAAATAAATAAAAAAGAAATACCATCTACCTACACCAGGTAGCTCATTACAGAAAGCAAGGAAGGAGTCTCAGGTTTCGTAAGTGGATAGCCAGAGCATGGGTGAATACGTCCTTCCTTCTGACTTGCTAGTGAGAGGTCGCTTGTGTTCCAGTGGCTACTCTCACTTCTCAGGCTTAGCCTACAATATTATTTTATATGCCCTTCACAGGGTAGTAGCAAGCTTTCACATGAAGCAACTGCACAAAATTTCCTATTTCATTCATGGTATTTTTTACACCAGCACCATTAGGAAGGAATGAACCAACACAGAAAGGTCTATTCTACCTTTGTGCTCGGTTTGTCTTTCTGAGACTCAAGAGGCAGGGAAGCTCTGAGATGGGAAGAGAATGATAGACAGGAAGGAGAACTTCTGGGTGTGGCTCTGGCTGTATGGAGATTGGAGAACCTTGACAATGTCTGAACTCTGAAGTATGCAAAGTGCAATTATCTGCCAAAGCTGATGTTCAGCTCTGCACAATTGTGTAATGGGAAACCCTGATGCAATGTCTAAATAACCAAAGTCACAGAGATGAAGGGAAGGGTATATCCTTCCCAGTTTTTGTAGGTACAGCATAACCTCAGTGTAACAACTCATAGAAGAAAGATTTAAGGAAAGACTCCATTAACAACTGCCTTTTAACCATTTTCAATCACAATGGCTAATTAAATAGCTTATTTCTCAGTGCCAAACTTGAGATTCCTACTAAAGAAGTTAAAGCCGCATCAATGTCAAAGAATCATTTTGTCACAGAAATAATTCCAGCACACATTTTCTCCACAAAACCTATTCCACATATTGTAATCATGCTGTAACCACTGTTCCATTTACAATAACAACAAATACAAAACTACAGGAATATATTTTCATTTCTAGGGAAGGGAGGCAGAGAGTCACAACATGTAACATTAGCCTATTCCACTGCTGGGATGCAGTGCAATACTGCAAAGGACTAGATAATTTTAAATCGTAAGATCATTTCTAAAATCCTGTTGGGCTAATTTTTTATTTCAAAAACCTTTAAATGTTTTAAAACTAAAAGCAACTGAAGCAAATTAAGAAAATAAATGGTAAAGTGTAAAAATAATAATAGCACAGCTACTTCTACTAAAGAAATCAACCAACCGAGGATCCCTGTCAAATAAAACTCCAACCGCTAAAGGGAAAAGTTTGCTAATTTAACAAAACTGTATATATGTAGGCTGCTGGGACAACCTCTAGGTGCTGCTCTAGAGACCCCCTTCCTAAAGACTTATTTTTTTCCCGGTATTTTAGCCTCCCCCTCCCCCTAACTGCACTGCGCAAAACACAATCACTTCAAACATATTTGCTGTTGAAAAAGCCTCAGAAACTAACCTTCTTCAAGGTTCAAGAAGCCAAACAATGGCTTTTTACTTTTTATTCCAAATTACACTGTAGATGTATGAGCTAGACAAAATACTAGCAGGTTAGCAGGTTGTGTCAAAGCAACCAGGAGGCCGAAGAAGCAAAAACACAGCTACCTCTAGAGCCCTCCTCCTTCCCCCCAGCCATCTCGCCAAATGGACTACTACTAAATATTAAAATCAATCCTGTGCCTAAGTTAAAACTGTCAGATGAGATTGGGAGATGCGGGTGTAGGGTGGAGTGGTTCCTGCGTCGAGCCCTTAGCAGCACAGACTCCATCTGATATGTCAGCTCCAGCATCCGAGAAGCTGAAGAGAGATGGAAGCTCAGAGGAAAACCGTGCGAGCGTCGGGGGGGAGGGGGGAGGGAGGAGTGGGGGGGAGGGAGGAGGGGGGTGGGGGGTGCGGAGGGAGAGGCCTTAACGTTCGGATCAGATTAACCAGTGCCTGACCGCTGTCCCCGCGCCCCGGCATCTCCTCGGATCCGCAGCATCCCAACAGCCGCAGGGAGCGACGGACTGCAGGGCCGAGGACTGGTGTCTCCCGCAGGGCCGGACGAAGACAGGGAAGCCAGCCGCTTTACCTGTGATGGACCAGGTCCAGCGGTAGAACTCCACGGTGTCGTTCAGCGCCGTGGACACCACGTTGAGGACACTGCCCGGCTCCGAGTCCAGGAGCCCCATCTCGGCGGTAAGCGGGCGCCGGCGGCAGCGGGAGGAGAAAGCGGAGACACCGTGGGAGGGTTGACCTCCGAGGCGACGGCCGACGGAGCGGGCGGCAGCCGGGGACCCCTCTAACGGCGGCGGCCCAGCTGCGTCTTCTCCTCCTCGGGGCGCCGCGGCGACAGGGATGCGGCGGCCGCGTCGACTAGCCGGGCGGAGTAAAGGTACCGTCCAGGCTCCTAGGAGAAAGAGGAGGAGGAGGAGATCTCCTCGTGAGCGCCAGGCGCTGCACCAGTCTGCGGCCTCGCGCGGCCGCCGCTCCAATCTCCTCGGCCCGAGTCACGTGGCCGCGCGCGAGGCGGAGGGGCCAGCGCCCCTCCTCCCGCCCGCGCGCTGGGACTCTTGCGCAGGGATGAGGCTGTCGTGGAACCGCGAGAGTCAGGTCCGCGCAGGCGCGCGCCGTCCCACACCCCTAGTGTCTCGCCCTTTCCCTGGTCGCGCGGGAGCAAGACACCTGGGCCCCTGTTGGCTACCTACCCCCGCGAGTCTCCCCATGCCTCCTTCTCCGTCTCCGGCCTCAGGAGGAGGGTACGCCGCCCCTGCGGAGGAGTATGCCGCCTTCCCACGGGTGACCTCTCATCCGCCCCTGATACATCTTAGGAAACAGGACGGGGAAGAATGGGCGTTTTGTGGGCAAGGATGAGGTAGGCGAGATGCTTTGGTCCTTACCTGTCATTCACTTCTATTTCCTTTGGGTTCCATTTTTTTTTCACCCCCACCAGCACATGCCTGTCATGACAAGAGAAATGCACAAGTTATCCCTCTAAGTTAGTCAAGTGATATTTGTCGTCCAAGCTGCAGTGGTGGAGAATGGACTGTGGGGTCTACTCATTAACCAGTTGACAAATAATTTGAATGAATGCTTGCATGTGTTTTGTAAACTTTTTAATATACATGGAATAATCAAAGCAATATAGTTGTATTAAATAGGGTCGTTATAGCTTCAGAGAAGGAGGACCGAGAGGGAACTTAGAGTTAGAGAAGTCCTCTTGGACCTGAAGGAGTTGAGAGGAGCATAAAAGGATCATTGCTCAGGAAACAAAGGACAATCTAGGTGAAAGAAGAAAACATATTTATTTAAAAAAATGTTTAGATAATAAAGTGGGAGGCAACAGGATAATCTACCCCTGAAAAGTGAACCACCTGAAAAGTAGCAAATATACACTACATACAGTTCTTAATTTGATAGTTTCTGACATCAAACAAGATCTTTGAGAATAGTTTCGTAAACTTCTCACCTACTTGTTACTTAAATGCATGACCTACTCTTTGTTTAACCTTCTCTCCAATTGTTGGTTTAGGAAGTTCCATTTAGAGGCCACGGAGTCAGGTGTGTGATTGCGTCTGCTCTTTAACACTGTTAAAATAATGTGAATACTGTTTTCCTCATATTTATTTGATTTATTTGTTTTTCAGTTGATTTGGTTGTATATTCTTTGACTTTATTTTATATCAGAAACATCATAGAGGATAAGAATTATTTTCGGTTCTTCACTGAGGACCTAACCCAGTGCTATAAATAATAATAAATATTTATGATGATGTCAAAATTATAATACTTATTTCAGAACTTGAAGACTATTATAAGTTACAGGAGCTTTAGGATGAGAAAAGATAATTAAATGTAATTGATTTATTGCATCAAGCAACCACAGTCTTCTTTAATGCTCTGTTCCTGAAATTAACCAAAAAAAAATGTAATTTATCAAATATATTTACCAGATTACATTTTCTGGATTGAATTATGGTTTCTCAAGTCACAACCCCAAGTTATGTGTATCATACTGATTCTAGTAGATATATATAGGTAGAAATATAGAGGTATGTAAATATATCTCTATATGTATATACATACATTTTTTTTAAATCCGGTCAAGTTGTAATACCTGGAGAGTAGATAAAGATCAGTGCTCTACTCATGTACTTTGATGACCTAGCAAAGTTCAGATTAGTTTGGCCTTCATCTCGAAAATTGATTACTACTTTTATATTGTGAAATCCTGGATGCTTTTTGTGGAGAACAGATCCCCACCCTCACCTGCATTCACACACACAAAACATTAGCATCTTTTTTTCCCAAGTTTTTATTTAAATTCTAATAGTTAACATATATGGTAAAATTGGCTTCAGGTGTAAAGAATTTAGTGATTCCTCACTTACATATAACACCCAGTGATCATCATGAGTGCACCCTCTATTCTCTATAGTTAAGAGTCTATTATGATTTGCTTCCCTCTCTCTTTTACTTGTTTAATACAGTGTGAACTCATTAAAACAGCTTCAGATATTTTTCTAGCCTCTTTGAATAGAGGCCAACTTAAGTCCCTTTATTCACTAGGGGGCGCCTATCACATATAAGAAAATCCTAGACATGTAATGACAAATCTAGGGGGTAACAATTTCCTGCACACTACCTGGAAGAGTAGTATGTTTATTTGCATTTATGAGCTGTCTAAATATACACCAAGAACAAGAACCCTAGTACATTCTCAATTCACAAATGGTTTAGTGGTTTACAAATACTAATGGCTGACTAAATCAAAGCCTACCTAATCTGTGCAAAGGGAAGGAGACCCACATATTTACTCACCTAGAGTGGCAGCCATCTAACCAAGATCTTGGTGGCATCATGACAGAACAAAATCAAATATAAGCATCCATAGTATCTGCAAAATTTTCTCGACTAGAGTTCTTTGTTATGGGTTAAATTCAAGTAAGATAAAGTTATCTAAAAAACTGAGAGAGGATATGATTATAATAAAAATTGATTTTATCTAAAATAGCAAAATATTTTAACATTTCTTACAGCCCATACAGAGTTAACAACATAAATCAAGCTATCCATTGTTTCCCTAGTGTTTCTGCCTTTCCACATTGTCAGTAGCATCAGCAACCTGTGCTTTCAAAAAAAAGTGAATCTAAGAATCTGTTGAATCAGGACTGAAAGCAAGCAGCTTGATGAAGAATTGTAGAAAGACCTTAAATCTTACAGGAGTAAATTGTAGATAATACAGAAAAGGGAGAAAATCATTGGTAATGTAGTTGACCCTTGAACAACACAGGTTTGAACTGTATGGGTCCATTTATACATGGATTTTTTCCGAATAAATATATTGAAAACCTTTTTGGAGATTTACAACAATTTGAAAAAATTCACAGATGAACTACATAGTCTAGAAATATAAAAAAAATAAAAGGTATGTCCTGAATGCATAAAATATATAGATACTAATCTATTTTATCATTTGCTACCATAAAATATATGCAGATCTATTACAAAAAATTAAAACTTATCAAAACTTACTCACACATTTACAAAACATACATGGCACCATTAACAGTTGAGAGAAATGTAAACAAAGGTAAAGATAGAATATTAAGTCATAACTGCATGAAATTAACTAGTACATACTATAGCACTATAATAATTTCATAGCCCCTTCCTGTTGCTACTGTGGTGAGCTCAAGTGTTGCCAGTATCCGCTTAAAGCACTGTGTGATACTAATCATTTTTGTGTGAGTAGTTTGTCTCTCTAGTAAATTGCAAATCACAGTAAAAAGTGATCTCATGGTTCTCACATATTTTTCATCGCAGTTAGTGCAATACTGTAAACCGTGAATAACAAGGTTATAACATGGGACCTATACAAAGTGTCGCTAGTGATGCTGGAAGTGCTCCCAAGAAGCAGAGAAAAGTATGACATTACGATAAAAAGGCGAATTGCTTGATATGTAGCATAGATTGAGGTCTGCAGGTGCAGTTGCCTGCCATATCAAGATGAATGAATCCAGTGTAAGGACCGTTGCTTTAAAAAAAGAAAGAAAGAAAGAAAAGAGAAGTCATGAAGCTGTTACTGCAGCTCTGCCAGCAGGTGCATAAACCTTGCACTTTTTGCAAAATCCCTTTTATCTCATAATGCAAATGCAGCTTTTATGTGGTTTCAGGATTGCTATAAGAAGAGCATACCTATAGACTCTAATATGATTTGAAAAAAAAGTTATTGTATGAAAACTTAAAACAAAAGGAAGCTGAAGTATGTGATGTTGGAGAATTTAATGCCAGCAAAGGATGGTTTGATAATTTTAAAAAGAAGTTTGGCTTTAAAAATGTCGAGATAACAGGAAAAGCAGCTTCTGCCAACTAGGAAGCAATAGATGAGTTCCCAGACACCATTAAGAAATTGAGGAGATAAAAAGAAAGAAAGAGAGAAGTCATTAAGGAGAAAGGATATCTGCCAAACAGGTTTATAATGCAGACAGAAGTGCCCTATTCTGGAATAAAATGCCACAAAAGACATTTATTAGTAAGGAAGAGAAGTGAGTACCAGGATTTAAGGCAAGAAGGGATAGGCTAACTGTACTGTTTTATGCAAATGCAGTCAGGTTTATGATCAGGACTGCTCTTATCTACAAAGCTGCTAACTCGTAAGCCTTGAAGGGAAAAGATAACACCAGCTGCCAGTCTTTTGGTTGTACAACAAGAAGGCCTGGACAACAATAACCCTTTTTCTGGATTGGTCCCATTAATGCTTTGTCCCTGAAGTCAGGAAAGACCTTGTCCATAGGGGGTTGCCTTTTCTTTTTTTTTTTTTTAATTTATTTATTTATTTGAGAGAGAGAGAGAGAGTGAGCAAGCAGGGACAGGGGCAGAGGAAGATAGAGAATCCTAAAGCAGACTCCCCACTGAGCACAGAGCCTGACACAGGGCTCGATCCCAGGACCCTGAGATCATGACCTGAGCCAGCCACTTAACCGACTGAGCCACCCAGGCACCGCAGGGATTGCCTTTTAACGTTCTTTTGATATTGGACAATGCCTCTGGCCACCCAGAATCCTATGAGTTCAACAGCAAAGTTGTTGAAGTGGTCTTCTTGCCCCCACACACAGTATCTCTAATTCAGCCTCTAGATCAGGGGGTCATAAGGACCTTTAAGGCTTATTACACATGGTTCTCTGTGGAAAGGATTGTTAAACTATGGAAAAGAACCCCAATAGGGAGAACATCGTAAAAGTAAGGAAGGATTACACCAATGAAGATGCCATCACTATTATAGAAAAAGCTGTGGAAAAATATCAAGCCCAAAGCAGTAAGTTCCTGCTGGAGAAAACTGTGTCCAGATTTTGTGCATGACTTCATAGGATTTATGACAGAGCCAATCAAGGAAATCATGAGAGAGACTGTGGATATGGCAAAAAAAAAAAGGTGAGGGGTGAAGGGTTTCAAGATATGGATCTTAGAGAAATTCGAGAGCTAACAGACACCACACGACAAGAATTAA